TTCATTATTGAAATTTTGCGCTCTCTCTCGCATTTCTCCATAGCATCATATATGCAGCCCATAGAAGGCTTGTCACTATCAACCATGCGAAGGACTTTGACAAGAGGAAAAAATATCTTAAGAGTGCCCTTCACCCATCTCCAAAAAGCCTTAGAAAATATAATATCTCTTACCTTCTTTCCAATCTGATCCTCAGACCACTTGCATGCTCTCACTCATCTGAGATAAACATTGGCCTCAACTACACTCTCCTTGAATGTATGATATATAGGTATAAGTATCAGGTCGCAAATCTCATGACCCCAAGCCTCATAATCTCTTTCTTCTTTGTAAAAGTACGCATCATGCTGAGGGTAAGATGATGGCTATAAATGAAAATTATAACTAACTTGGCCTTCTTCACTGCACCGGATATCTCGGCTAAACTGTCAAGAGCCTCAAGCATGAGGTCTATGCAATGTGTTGTACATGGTGTCCAAAAGATTCTAGGATAAGCTATGCGCAATAAATTAGATGCAGCAACACTAGGAGCAACATTGTCTGTGACAACCTGTACATCAAAATGCTCCCCAACCTCCTTGATTCCCTTCTCTATCACTTGAAATATGTAATAGGCATTATGGATATGATCAAAGGTATCAATAGAACTAAAAAAGACAGTCCCTGCAGGACAATTCACAAGCAAATTTATTTGACTTCTTTCTCTTCTTATCACTCCCAGCATCAGTCATAGAAACCCCATACTGAGCCCATGCATCCTTCTTGAGTTCTATAGCTTCCTTCGTGGCACTCACTGCCTTTTTAAAAAAACATCTGAAAGCTTATATGGGGTTGATGCTCCCCAACTTCCTTCATTACCTTGTCTATCACTTGAAATATGTAATAGGCATTATGGATATGATCAAAGGTATCAATAAAACTCAAAAAGACAGTCCCTACAGGACAATTCACAAGTAAATTTATTTGACTTCTTTCTCTTCATATCACTCCCAGCATCAGTCATAGAAACCCCATACTGAGCCCATGCATCGTTCTTGAGTTCTACAGCTTTCTTCGTGGCACTCACTGCCTTTTTAAAAAAAACATCTGAAAGCTTATATGGGGTTGAAGGTTTCATTCCAGGGCCAAATTGGCCAACTGCCTCTATAGCAACATAGAAGCTGTTTAAATGATATTGAAAGGAATGCCCGCCTCATAAAACCATGTAGCAAGATAATACGCAGCTCTATCTCTCTCTTCCTTCTTGATTCTATTTTCAATAGTGGTTTGCTTTTTTGTTTTCACTCCTGCAACCTCAGAATCAGACGGAGGTAAAAATCTATCCATAGGACCTCTAACCCGAGGGTTCTTAGTCCCAAACCAGAAGAAATTACAACTCTCTTCCCCTTTCCCTTAATAATGGATTGCTCAACCTCTTGACATCCCTCCCTTTCCTCATCGCTATCATCATCATCAAAATTGACCTGAACCCCAAACCTAATTTCTGCTATAGAGGCAAATCTCTCACCTTTCTTCATTTTCACCATATTCAAAAAATTGTTTACAGCATCAAGAGTCTTTTACATGGGGCAACATCCCCTCTGGTATCGGTAAGATGTTTCTTGAACCGGTTTATGCCCCATTTTGTATTATTTTTACAAAACTTGCATCTTATGCAATTTTTATCATTTGAATCTGGGTTATAGCTATATTTCCAACCGCGATCACCACTCCTATTAAATCCCGAAGAAGACATCTCAAAATAATGCAAATTACTAAAGCAATAAAAAAGATCACTTATTTTGAGTTTGATTGCTCAATCTTCAAACTTCCACCTCAAAGATGCTTCTAAATACTCAAAATCTTCTAAAAAACCCCCTCATAACTTTGCAAAACATCAAAAAGTAAATCTAATATCAATGGGTGATGTTTTAATCAATTTTTATTAGCTTTGAGATACCCTTTGATCCTAAAAAATTCATCAAAAACTAGATTTTTTGGGGTTTTCTCTCTCTAAAATTGGCTTCAACAAGCTTTAGGGTTCAAATGAATCTAAAATCCTAAATTTTGGCCCTTAAAAACAAAAAAAAAATGACAAAAATTGCCCCTACCGAAAGCAATTTCCTCCCAGGGCTGGGCGCCAGCCTAGGCGGGTTCCGTACAACCTAGCTGCCGCTCAGGGATCGACTTCCCAGATTGGCCGCCTAGGCCTAGGCGATGCGCACAGGCCTTTCAGACTGCCTAGGCGTTGGGCGGTCCATTTTTTGAATCATTGATATCATTTTAAGTATTAAATGCCTTCAATTCCATCATACCCAAGTCGAGATTTTAGCTCTAGAATTTTAATATTGTTTAATTGTATTTAGGAGTATTAATCATTTCTTAAATATTTTCAAAAAAATATAGAAAAAGATATTGCATATTATCTATATATGCCATATATTTATTCACGATTGCATGGGTGTGGTTTCCATAAGGTTGCAACCTTAAACAATCCATTTAAAGTTCACTTTCAAATTTCACCGTAATATATAATTTTGATGTAAATTATTCTTAACATTATCTTAAAATCTATTTTCATATCTAATTATAAAATTTTAAACTCAAAAAATGATTAAAATCAAGTAGATCTATAAATATATGAAAATCTTGAAAATGGATGGTCTAGATAATGTGTTGTAAGATACACCATTTATGGGACTCAAAATCCTTCTTTTTTTCATAGTCATTCATCTCGATGTCGGGATGATCAATTAGAGGGTTTTTAAATATTAAAACAACATTTTCGAATGGATTTTTGAGGTACATCTGTAGTTCCACATTTTAAGGTTGAAACCTTATATAAATTTTTCCCTTATTTAATTGCCATATTTTTAAATGCTTACGTTCTACATGCAACACATAAATCTACTAGTAAAATATTAAAGAGGGTGTGCACCCCTTGTTGTTCCATGTATAATGGCGTGGCCCCTTTTTTTTTTTTGCTTAAAAGGTGGCGTGGTCAATTATGCTATACAAAAAGGAGGGTGTGGTCCCTAGGGTGCTCGTGTCCTACATGTGGGGCTGGATCCTTGGTCCTACATATGCTATTTATAGTTATGAGATTTTCAGAAATACCCTTTTAATATGTTTAATGGCAGAACTAATATTGTTTTTCTTTTTTAGAGACTCTTTATGGGTTATAGAGAGAGAGAGTACTTAGAGAAACTTTCATATTCCAAAACCCATATTCCATTCATCGCATTGGGAGAAAAGTATAAGGGAAAGTTTCATATTCTATAACCCATTGAAAGAGTACTTGGGGAAACTTTCGTACTCCATAACCTATACTCCATTCATCGCATTGTTTTCTGTTTTTATTTTTTATTTTATTTTTTTGAGAGAAAGAACACGTATTGCGATGAAACATGTCCACGTACTTAGAGAAACCTTCTTTCAAGCTATGTATGGTGCACAATCCCTTAGCTTAAAGCTTGCCTAAAGACCTTTTTTGGCAAAAATGGACAATATTTATCAAAAATGGAATTGGCCCATGCATGCATATACTATGTTTCTAGTGTAGGTGGGATTTCCGGTCAAGTTAGGGTAACCACTGGATATAGGTATTTTAAAGAGACAAGGGCTCAACAAAAATTAGGATTGCTAGGTTTCGGGCCTTTTGAAGGTTTCCCTATTGGAGTAGGAATGAATACAAGGACAAGATGAGGTAGAAAGGGTCATGGTGAAGGTGTTAGTTGGGTTAAACCAATGTTAAAGTACATTGTAGAGTATCTAAGAAGAGGGTATTGTGGCTGCATTTTATCAGCCCAGCAAGGTCTTATGATGATGATGCAAGGCTCACCCCCGATTTAAACTAGGGTTTGATGGCTACAGAAGTTAAGTATATGGGCGAGGTTGATATTAAGCTACGTGGGGTTTGGAGTGAAAAAACTAGGATTTAAGGCTAAAGGTTGAAGTTGGACGTGAATGGCTTTAGGGTTTTGTGGGTTGTGATTGGAAGAGTGATAAGAGTGTGGAAGGAAGAGACGAAGAGTTGGAAGGGATACCTTTACGGAAGAAAGAAAATACGAAAAAGGAAAAGATCCCGAGCTTAATTGGTTCGTGCTTGACAATTTGGATCACTACGTCCTAGGCTTAATTTCTATTATGGGTTGGGGCCCATTCCCCACTTTCTCACACAAAACTCACCCAAAAAAAAAGAAGAGTACAGGCCTAAACATATATAAAATCTATAGCATCCTAGGTCTTGCCCGGCATCTACACCAAAAAAAGATTTTAAGGATTCAAGAAAAATTCACCTTCATCAAGGCTTTAGCACATTAAAATGGAAACAAAGCCAACATCGTTCACAAAGTTCACAAATTTTTGTGGTTTTCACCATAAGTCCATTACGTACATTTACAGAGTTTCTTGACTCCTAAAGTACGGCTACTAGTCCTTCCCAAATACGACTTCTAAAGCAAGAAGGAAAACTAAATAATAAGGTATCCTACTTTATCTAAGAACTACCAATCTTCTGTAAACCAACTCCAAGGAAACTAAATGCACAAGATAACATCTATTCTAATCCAAAACTAGGTTGACACGATTGGATTTAGACTTCCAATAATTTAATGCCTCTTTCTTTTTTTTGAAGGGGGGTTGGGGTAGTTCAGACATCAGCATTAGGAATTGATCATATCCGCAAGAATTCCTAAATACAAACGGATAAACCACATCCTGACAGTCTAAAAATCAGGATGCTCTCAGTATGGAGTCCATCTATAATCAAGGACTCGCATCTACTGAAAGATTCAAAACAATATTCATCCATAATATTCTCTCAAAAGATTCAAATCCAGGATTCAACCCAAGACTAGCATGGGGATTTACGAGAAACCAAACAGCCATTTACAAATGAAAAACCAGGAGGGCTAACAAAGGACTCCAATAAAAACCACAGCAATTTGTTATGATTATCATATAATTCCATTCATACAAGGAGATGGAAGATGGTACAAGAACATGGGAAGCTGCTTTCCAAAGGATGTCACTATTCTGTGCGATCACTTCGACAATTTCATCCAGTCTTGGTACACACGAAATCTCTCTCTCCCCCCTACAGACTCCATCTACAGAAGCACCCTACATTCATTGGAAACATCCAACTTACCCTACATTCATTGGAAACATCCAACTTACATCGAAGAAAACATGGGAAGAAGGCAAACTATCTTAAAATTAAATGAAAAAGAAACAAAAAATGATCCATTCAAGCTTCTCGAGACTCCAGGATCCATGCAAAGAGATACAGTTACCTGTCACTACAATATGAAATTGGAACCACAATTCTATGAAATGAATAAAATTTGTACAATTTCAGCTATATCTGGAGCGAGAAACTAACACATGTATATCAACATTTACAGTAGTATAATGTATATCTCGCTTTTATGTCGGGACCACGGCACCATCCAGAGATGGCGTATCATCCTCCATAACCACACCCTCTGAAGGGGCGTCGCTCTTCTCTTCCTGCTCCTCCTGAAATCCCTTTGTAAAGCGGTCATAGTTGGTTGGTTCGCTTGACTTGTAGGGGCGTTCGCCAAGCACTTTCAGCAAGTCATCTTGGTGCAAAACCTCCTTTTCGAGTAATAGCTCTGCAACCTTCGCCACTTGCTCTCGTTTTTCCTCAATGAGTTCCAATGTTCGCTTGTATGCGTTGCTCACCCAATCTCTCACTTCCTTGTCTATGATCTCCCCAGTTCCATTGCTATAAGGCTTGGTCATCTCAAATGCCTCCTCCCTTTGGGGGAAGGAGAGGAGCCCTACCTTGTCGCTGAAACCATAAACTGCGACTTGGGCATAAGTCATCTTTGTCACCTTCTCCAAGTCATTCTGAGCCCCAGTCGAGATCTTCCCCAACAGAATCTGTAAATGCAAAAAACAGGTAACCAATGATGTTTGCCTTTTCTTTGTCATAAAGCAGAGAGCTAAGTCAGGGGAGCGAGAGAGAGAGACAGAGACCTGCTCAGAAGCACGGCCACCAAGGGTCATGCATGTCATGTCAAAGAGCTGCTCCTTGGTCATAAGTAGGTTTTCATTGGGTACATACTGTGCAAAGCCCAGGGCTGCAGAGCCACGCGGTACAATTGTGACTTTAAGCAAAGGCTCTGCATGCTCCAAGAACCATCCTGCAACTGCATGGCCAGCTTCATGATATGCAACAGTCCGGCGTTCCAACTTGCTGATTACCTGCATGAATCAATGGATACAATGCATAGATACATCATCAGAACGGCATGCCAAAGGGAAAGAACTTCAAAGCTCAACTTGACACATGAAAGTAGAGAAAATTGCCATCCTAATTCTTGATTATTTTGCAGTTAACAATTTCAAAAAAAAATTCTTGATTATTTTGGAAGCAAATAAAAATTTTGATGAAAAACCCTCATCTACTGAAAAGATTGCTTTTGCAGAAGGGCAAAATGAAAGCGAAAGAAGATTATAGTTGTCCTCTCTGACTCAAATTAATAACGAACACCAATTTGCAGTAGCTTGGAAAACAAGTATCATAACATCAACTATTGCAGGGCTACTCACCATAACTTCATAAAACATCTAGCATGACATCAACTACTGCAGGGCCACTCTTCATAGTTTCACAAGGAAAATAAGTGAAGTAGTGGAATTCTTGCTTCAAATAACTCTTAAGAAATCTTAAAAGATCAAACTAAAGAATGCATCTTCTTCAAAAAACCAACACCTCAAATGTGAAGGGAAATAACAGAGTCTTTTAACATAGGTAACTTCGTTCGGAAGAGCCAGAAAAACAATGAAATGATATTAGGCAGCAATACAAACTATTTTAAACAATAGAATGTCAAATGAATTGGGGCATAGCATAATATTAAATCAGATAGAAACACATATCTACTCAGCCACAAAAACACATAAATATAGTATGAAAGAACAAAAAAGATGAAACATGACAACCTTATTTTTCTTTTCCAGACCACCAATGATTCTATCTATAGCAGCCTCAAAATGTTCCATGGTGACCTGTGTCCCTTCATTTCTGGCAGCTATCAGTGCAGCTTCATTACAAACATTTGCTATGTCAGCTCCAGCAAATCCTGGAGTAAGAGCTGCCAATCTCTGAGAGTAAAATGTTGGATTGTTATCAAGCTTTATTTTCTTCAGATAGATCTGAAAGATCTGATCACGACCTTTGATATCAGGTTTGTCAATTTCAATTTGTCGATCAAATCGACCTGGCCTCAAAAGAGCCTTGTCTAAAATATCTGGCCTGTTAGTGCCTGCAAGTACAACTACTCCTGCAGTTGTACCAAACCCATCCATTTCCACAAGTAACTGATTGAGAGTGCTTTCACGTTCATCATTTGCACCAGAAAATCCCCCACGTCCCCTTGCTCGACCAATAGCATCAATCTCATCAATAAATATAATGCTAGGTGCACATTGCCTAGCTTCTTGAAATAAACTCCTCACTCTTGAAGGTCCAACACCAACAAACATTTCCATAAAATCTGAACCAGAAATTGATAGAAATGGCACACCCGATTCACCAGCAGTAGCTTTTGCAAGAAGAGTCTTTCCAGTGCCAGGAGGTCCCACAAGAAGGGCTCCTTTTGGAATTTTAGCACCTAATTCCTCATATTTCTTTGGATTCTTCAGAAAATGGACAAACTCCATAATCTCCTGCTTTGCTTCATCACAGCCAGCAACATCCTTAAAGAATACCTATTACAACAGAAAATGAAATACAAACCATCAAAATGCCTCGCACATTGAATAACAGAACACTGTAAAAGACGAAAATAAAGAACAATACAGCAGGTGACCATATAAAGAAACTAAGCAAAAACCCGGACAAAAAAATCAGACTTGAAAGTCCTTTCAACCACCATCAAATTAGAAGAGTCTCTGAACATTCATTATGGAGAAAAAATCCAATTTATTTGAGACATGCCTGAAAGTAAAAGATTTGATTAAAAGCATAAAAGAGAAACAAAGATAATAAAAATCCCACCTTGTTCTTAGAATTCTTTTCCAGTTTTGTAACATGAGCTTTTCCAATATTGAATATTCCACGACCACCCCTTCCTCCACTACCGCCAATGCCGAATCCACCTTGCATCCTTCGACCAAAGTACAAGAGACATCCCAGAACCAAAGCTGTAGGAAGAAATCTCATCAATTCTTGGTACCAAACCATTTCATTCACATATGTTACAGGAACATAGTCATGAGGATCTACTCCCAGTGTTTCCTGGGCTTCCTCCAGCTTTTCCTCAAATGATTCAACACTTCCAATGTTGAAATAGTACTTATATTGGCCTGTATTTCCTTTGGGAGGGGAATTAGTTCCAGGTCCTTGGATATCATCGTCCTTGGTTTGGTTGTTAATACTTGGGGTATTCCGAACATATACTTTAGCCACTGCTTTATTGGATACGACAATATGATCCACTAATCCGGGCTCCAGAAGCTTGTTTTTGAATTCCTGGAAACTAATCTGTCAAGTGATAGACCAAGTCATATTAGAAATTATAAAGATGACTTACTAACCTATGAATTTAGGACTCCTTTATGGTTCGACGAAGAACATAAATAGAGCCGAATAAAAATCCTATATAGCCATAAGAGCAACATCTACTAAGATAAACATGCACATTCGACTATGAAGAGACCTCACTGTTCCCAACAATGTCCTTAAGCTTCCAATAATACTCTACGCATTCAAGCAGATGACATTAGTAGCATAAAAAGGAAACAGACTATAAAGGATGGAGGAAGCATAGCACAACGTTTACGTCATTTCATCAGAAATGAAGTATGGCCAATAGTGAGCACATTCATACCAGGATGGATAACTTCCTGGGATGCCCATAAATTTCAACCATTATTAGCAAGGTTCCCAAATGGGTATCAGGGAGATCATCTCTAGCCACACATGCACATACACACGCGTGCGTGCACAAACACAAACTCACAGAGAGAGAGAGAGAGAGAGAGAGAATAAAGATGAAAACAGCTGTACATTAAGCCTTTTGCAATGAAACATTTCCACTTCGCACTTTCTTTCTATCAACCAATTGTTTCAAAAGTAATTAGAGGACTAAAGTTTTAAGGTCATAAGGGGCGCCAGTTTCCATTTCAATCATCAAGTTCAGTTATAAATCCTTAGCTCCCTAAATCAAGTACAAGACAGAAGCAGTATTACAAGCTAGGTTCTTCTCAAGGATGGGACTCCCATTTCAACACTACCTTCATGAAATTAACCAGCAACAATTTCTTAGATCTGACAGCTGGTAACAACACCCTAAATTATGCACCTCTATTTTAAATACTCAATTAGCTGATTTTTTAGCATTTTCTTTCTTTATTTTTGGGCTCCATAGCAGTAAATCTCAATTTTCATTCCTTAAGTTTTAGAAAGTTCCAGAAGCAGGTTAAAACACGATGATAAATAAGGAATTGACGGAAGAAGATTTAACTGAAGAGATTATCAAATCAACCAACAGGAATGCTTCAAATTTTAACATATGAGAAATTGCAGGTCACCCTGGCTAATGTTTCCGCCAAGGTGCACAAATACTTCAACGTCCAGAGCAATATTTTTCAGTAGGATTTGAACATGGGAGGTCCTTATTTTGATAAATAATGCCTAGAATGCTTGCACCGGTAAAATCTATATGAGAGACGGCTAGAAAATTATCAAATCTTTTAATTTAGTGGACTATGGACATGTGTTAATTGAGGAAATATTTGACTTAAAAAGCCTTTAAATTAGCACATCTGATAATGTCATGGAAGTCAGTTTACATAGAGTCAAAGTGGAACTCTGAAATGATCCTAAAGCCAGTAAGAAGAGGTAGAGACCTCCACCACTGTTGAGAAGACAACAACACGGATCTAGATAAGGTTTGGCAAATGGATCCTTTACTCTCTCATATATCTCTTGCCCTACAAGGTCCAACACTTTGTAAAGTGCTGCCATCGAAAATGATTTCAAACTATCATTAGCTAATCTTCAATGGGGTAAGGTCCAAAGCTTTAATCTCTCTGGACCATAGTTAGCAAGTTGGGAAATATATCGGTGAACCAAAACCAAGGTTTCAAAAAACGCTAGGTGGCCCCAAGGCGGCCTGCCCAGCTCCCAAAGCCTAGGCGGGCGCCCAGAACCTCGAGGGCCCTGTAGTTTATTTCACTTTGGGGCTTTTCATATATTGAGGGGGTTTTTTTTTTTTACTTTGGGGGTTAAAAATAAACCCCATAACGTTTTCATACAACCTTGGGGTCAAAATGAGCCCTTTTGCCCTTTTGGGCGATTCAAAAAAACGAAAAAAGGCCTTACCGCCCTGGGCGCCCACCTAGCATGCCTGGGCACCCGCTTAGCCTGCCTGGGCGCCCACCCAGGTACATCCGCCTGGGTCTAGGTGGGCGGATTTTTTGTCGAGGCCGCCTAGGCGGACGCCTAGGCACGAGGCGAACCATTTTTTAAAACATTGACCAAAACATCGGTAATGAATCGGTTTTAATTCAAAAAATCAGAGGAAAAAATCGTGTAAAAATAAAAATCGCCAAAAAATAAGGTAAGTTATAGAATAGTGAATATTTCGGATTTGGCTCAAAAAATGGAGTGAATGATAATAATTTGCAGTTATTGTGGCCATTGAACAATAATTTTATGGCCTTACCTAGCGTCATTAGAGTAATACTGGACAAATTATTGTTTAAACTTTCAATAAATCTAACAACAATGCTTATTTTGTTGTCATAACACAGGACATATCATATATTTATTGGAAGTATAAAATGAAACAACAACAATAATATTAAACACAAGAACTACATTAGTAAATCACAGAACTACAAACCAAAGTATAGGATTATTGTTCAAAGGAAAAAACAAAAAGACCTTCAGTATAGGATTGTAGTTAAGTAAAACTGAAAACGACGAACCAAATATATAAAATAATAGTCCATCCAAAATGCTATGTTGTATAGACCAATGAAATAAAAAATAAAAATAAAAATACAAAATCAAACTTCCCTATGCATAAAGAAAGCAACAAAATGCTTTCGTAAATTTCAACCTCATAATGAATTCCTATCTGCCTAAATCTTTAGTAGCATTGAATCTCTCTCTTGCTCCTTATAAGGATGCTCTAGGTTTTAAAAAAACAGATTTTCATTGGGCTACTCTTCTTCTAACTCTACTTATATTTTGATATATACAATAGTCTTGATATACTATTTTTTGAAGCATATATTGCTTGTATTTTTTGATACACTTTTTTTAAGGGAACTTATTGGTGAAATTTTTGATGGAATCTTTTTTTAAAGTCAAGATTCTTAATTTACTCCCACTGTTAATGGGCTTCATCTTTAAACCAAAATTCAATAATAATTAATTAATGAAGAAATAAAGTTATAGAGACGAATTTTTTTTTAAAAAAAAAGTACTTTTTGAAAAAGATAAAATACGGATTCATATTGGTTCCATTAAAAAAACGCGATATTTTTAAGATCTTTTGAAAAACTCGAAGTTATTAACAGATTTTAAAAAATCAGAGATTTTTTGAAAAAACCGTGGTTTAAATAGAGACTTGTTAATTCGGCTATGGACTAGGGGAAGGGAAGGGCCCAGGAGATCAGGAGCACATGGTTGTCTAGCAAATAGACTGTTTGTTGCAGGAGGCAAAAATCAAAGCATCTCTTTATTCCTATCTTTCCAGATGACCTATGGAATCATTGTTGTCAGTGTCAGAAGATGTATTCCGATCAACTTTTGTGATAATGGCCTCTCAACATCTTGCTTATCTGTCCATGTTGTTTTCATGCCAGGCCATTGTACTTGGCATTTTACTAAGTGAAATGTGGTTATCAATCAAGAAATGTAAAGTGAACAGCAGAACACATGGAACCAAACAAAAACTAACACAGTTCATCCACAAGGTCAACACACTGCAGACCAAATCAAAAGTTGGCCACCAATGTCAATTTCCATAGGAACCAGTAACGAAAACCACCACTTTAGTTTTACAATATAAAGTAACCTATATCCATATGATTTAATGAACTCACAGAATTCATTGACAAAAACCAATAAATACTTGCCAAAGATACTAAAAGAGAAACCATACTACAGTTTCCTGATTTTGAAATAAACAATTTCAGCACATCCATGGATGATTGATGGACATAAAACCACTAGGTGATTCTAGGTGCTGATCCAGTCCAGTGTAAACAGACAGGATTGGAAGTTTAGAACAACTAGTGACTAGCTTACATAAAGCAATCATGCAAACAGAACTGGCGGGACTGGAATGATCAAGGACTTGCCTCCACCATTTAATCTGCAACTCCATATTTCTCCAATGTTTTTCCTTTTCTATATTTAACTTTTTGCTGTTCTGTGTGGAAGCCATCTATATAGACCCCAAATAGCCTAAAAGAACCAGCTTGACTTTGCTTATTTGCTTAACTAGCTGGACCAGCACATTAAATTGAGATATAATTGCTTTATCTTTTTTTTAAAAAAATATGATTAAGTAAGCAGATCAGTTTACACAAAACAACTTATACACAGCAGTCAAGCTCATGAATTAAACTTTTCACCACACTTTTAACATTATCAAAAAAAAAATTAAATATTTCACTCAAGATAACCAGTAACATGTGTGCAAGAAAAAATAATGCTATTTTAGAAAAACGAACAGCAACCAAACAGATTTAACACCTTAAGGGCTATTTTTACCTGACTTCTCACTGAGGTGAATCACCCACTTCTTGTCAAGGTTGCAGATACACCACATTCTACTAAAACAGAAAAAGAAAAGAAGAAGAATTTGATGCTGACCTGTTTCTGATCACGGGGGCCAAAGGAAAAAGATGAAAGCACGAATGCGATAAGCAATAAAGGTGTCAAATAACTTTGTAACTGCTTCATGAAACTCTCTTGAAAACTCCCCTGGTCATCAGCATTTGAATCGTCTGTTGAACAAGGGAGAAAATGAGACGGTGTCTCATAGTAAATATATACATAATATGCATATATTTGTCATTACTAAAACTGACCTCACCCACGAGAAACAACCAAAAAACAATAGAACAAATCTTGATGATATAAGCAGAAAACACTACCAAGAACTACTTAAGAAAGTAATAAGTCAATCAGATCACTATTCAGGCAAACACTATAAGAAACCTTCAACAATCTAAAGTCTGCAATTATTTAAAACCAAAATTTTGTTATTAATTTCATGGCAAGCTTTGGACCAAGATTTGAAGCTCGAATACCCACCTTGTTTTTTATATAACAAGGGTACATGGGCCCTTATTATAATTGCAACAGACAAGCCAAGCCTGCTGCGTGTGTTTGTGTACACATACATGCATACATTCACGTATGCACGCATAATACATACAAACATACCAGCATATACATCTATAAAACCTCTAGTATTTATATATTAATTTCTAATTTAGTGAAGTATAAAGCATATTTTGTAACTATAATAATAGAAATGATAAAAGTATAGAAACATTGCCTTCAAATATGAAAAACTCTGGGTTGATATTTAGCTGAAAATAGGCTCAAGCTGACCGCAAGTGACTAAGGAAAGCAAAGCAGGACCTTGGTTTAAGACAACTAATTTGGTAGGATCATAGTTGTCGAGTGCAGGTGTGTTCCCCGGAGCAGGAACTGGCTCGGGTCCGCAGAACCGTGGATTGTTAGAAGCTCCTTGTGGTTAGGATCGTCATCTGTATGATCCTATTTCAAGGGAGCACAATCCTTGTTACAGGGAAGCGCGATTCCATGACGTAGAAATCGCCATAGTAAGTTTTAAGGGATCACGGATGATGGGTGGGTTCACAGTACCATTGGGCGCAAACCTAAATAAGTGCATATGAATCAATGCCGAATAGAGAAAACATCACATGCACAGCATCATACACTTGAGAACTGCGGTTCAAACCTGCTGGGAACGAGGATCACAATATAAGGATCCTCGTTCCATCCAAGATCCCTAGCTGGAATCGTGGGATTGAGGTTCCGGCTCGGGTCCATGACCTTGCCTACAAGGTTCCAGCAACTATGGGAAGGATAGTAACCAGTACAGGTTAAGTGATGTAGGACCATTTGAAAACTGATGCCCAGATGACTATATCAAATGTTGGTGGGGTTTAGAAGGGGAAGGAATAGGACTGTTTGGGTCAGGCGTGAAGTTCAAGTAGGGTTAAGGTTTCTAGTGCAGGTCGGATTCTGGGTAGGGTCGGGGTAATCCAAAACTAGATAAGAGCCACGATTGAATTTAGACTTCCAATAAATTAAAGCCTTTTTTCTTTTCTTTTTTTTTTTTTTTTTGGTGCTGAAGGGAGGGGAGTAGTTCAGAACTTGAGATGTAGCACCATAGTTACCAAGAACGAGAATGTGAAAAGTTTCGGGTACGGGAACAAGAGAGCGGAACGAGTCTAGCTCGAAGTTCCCTACGCGGCGGTACGAGCTCCGTACATGGCTTGGGGATGGGAGTGAGTTCCATAACTTCTAGGGGCGCATTGCTATCTTGACTGCAGCGAGTTCCCTACCAAAAGGGATCGCGTTGTGCTATTCTTAGGATCGGGGTTTCTGGAGTTCACTATTTTCGTATATTATAATCTGGGAGGAAATTCCATTAGATAGCATGTTTAACCCTTTCCAAATACACCGTTCCAAGGTATCAATGTAATAAAAAATCATGGCATTGAGATTGCCTTTGAAACTTTGATGTCATTGGAGCATGATTTCATATCGAATTCAGCAAACAACAATATTTGGGTGCATTGGAGCATGATTTCATACCAAATTCAGTTAGAAACCTTATTGTGATGCATTGAAGCATGATTTCACACCAAATTCAGTAAACAACATTATTGTGGTATACAGTGCACCACTACACCTTAATTATATAATACCCTTTTCTAAATTGGCACTCGATGCTGGGCAAGATTTACCCTTCTCAAGTCGACACTCAAGGATGGCCTAGATTTCCCATTTCATCTAAGTTTGTAGTCGATGATTAAGCACATGTATTGTGCTCATGCACAAGAATATTGTGCCTTACTTCCTCAGTTAAAAGAATCAAAACACCACACTAGGTTGATTGTTTTAGACTACAACCATATAGCAATTGCTAGATTATTTGAGGAAAACCGAATACTATATACAAATAAAATAAACTTTGTAGGTGTAGCTTGCTCCCATGGCATAGGATCAATGTTTCAAAAAGCGCTAGGCAGCACCTAGGTGATCGGGGGGGGTTGCGAGCCCACAGAAATAGGAGGCGCAATAGAAATTTTTTTCTCTCTCTAAAATAGTCTCTAATGGGTTTTAGGTAAAACCCACAATTTTGCCCCTTTAGTATTAAACAAGACCCAAAAATACCCTCAAGGAGCTGCATTTCGGCCCCTGGGCGGGGCACAGGCCTTAGGCGGCCGCCCAAATGCTAGGAGGTTTGCTTTTTAAAACACTGTATAGGACACTCGATTCTTGGTATGATGGAATCGTGGTTTCAAATGATATTGGAGCCATGATCTTGGGCATGTGCATCTAGATCCACTTGCTAAGGAACTCATTCCCATATAATAGGAATCGAGTTCACATAACTCCAAGTATGAGATCCAAAATCAAAAGGAAGCGTCTGGAATCGAGATCCAGTCACTCAAAGAACGGGATCGAGATTTTGGAGCGGAAACGGACCCCTACATGGATGCTCCCAATAACCATGTGTAGCACTACTAAACGTCAGTTGCTAACCACTCAAGCCCAAGCCCGATTCATCACTAATTAACTCAGCAGGCTAGACCAAGATCTGAAGCTCCACAAGTCTAAAATAAAGAAAAATCACAAACATAGCGATTATAGATCACAAAGAGTGTTGCAATGTGCGCTGCAGGTCACTCTTAAGAGATATCTAGCTCAAAACATATTTCCTCTGAAAGCTAGTTGCGGCATTTAATGTAGGGGAGCATATGTCCTTCTTTCTCGATCTTCTAGAAATAAGCAACTTTTCATGGTTTTGGCCATAAGGCCATTTCACACATTTATAGAGTTCTGAAACTCCTTAGGATGGGCTACAAGTCTTGCCTAAATATATTGTATAAACCGAAAAAGGAAAACTCATCAAATCATGAAGCATCCTATTTTGTCTAGGAACTATCTATTTTTTAGATAAAGAAACCAACTCATAAAAAAAAATCCAACACAATTAGGAAAGCAATCCAATCATAAACTAGATGTTACCCACATTGTCAATAGGATTCTGACTTCCAATAAATTAAAAGTCAACTAAACCTAAATTCATCATTAATTTTATTAGCAAGATTTGGACCAAGATTTGAAGATCTAAAACCATGCTTTTTCATAATAATTTTTTAAAAAAGGCCATATTATGCTTGCAATAGACGTATTAAAAATATTTTGTAACTCCAATAATAATGACAAAAATTATGCTTTCAAAGAAGATAACTCTAAGGTTAGGTTGGACGCTATGTGACTCATAAGCAAGCAGACCCAAGTTCAAGATCATAGCTTAGGGTATGTTTTGTGATGTAGGACCAATAAGAAATTATGCTTCGACAACTAAATCATCTCCTAGTGGGATCTATAAGGTGAAGAAATAGGCGACTTTGGATTTCGTTAGAAGTTCATGTTGGGTTAGAATTTCTAGCAAGGTCAAAAATCCTAAGCAAGTTGGATTAGGGTTCCTACTGAATATAAAAGTTCTAAAGAGATTAGGATTCTCACAAAGAATGGGATAGAAGGTTTTGGACCTTACAAAGGTTCCCTCACTGGGACAGGATTGGATAATACAGGTCCATCCATATAAGGTAGAACTAAGGTTTGGGCTATGAAGAAGGGCTTCGTTGGGGTAGGCCAATGTCACGAGTAGATAGAAGGGTTTCTAAACGAGGTAAAGCTTAAGCATGCTATATTTTATCTGTCCAACAAGCTATGATGATGACATAAGATATATCTAGGGTTCAAGCTAGGGTTTTAAGGCTATAAAAGCAAGGTATATGGGTAAGATGGATATTGAGATAATTTACCAAGGCTCCAACAGTTTGAGTGAAAAAACTAGAGATTAAGGCTAAGGTTGAGGTTGGATGGGAATGGAATTCGTCTTTTGTGGGATGTGATAGGAAGACAAAAATAGGGTGGATAAGGATGGTGTGGGAAAAGAGGAGATGGAGTTCGAAGGCATACATTGTTGGAAGAAAGAAGAGATGAAGAAGGAAGAAGCCATACGTAAACATGCATGCATTCAACACCGGCACAATTAAGGGGTCATAGGTCTTGTTCGGCATAAACACCAAATAACCTAAGGATTCATGGAAACAACACAATGGAGGAAGCTGCTCCAAATGCCATTGGTAGGGGACTACCTAGAAAGCTATAGTTGTTAGAAGGGGAATTGTTTATGATGGCTTTCTATATTTGAAATGGCTACTATTGATCATATGAATACAAGAAAAGTAACTCAAAGAATAAAGAAGTTGCTAATATTGTGGAAGTACTAACCATCATAAGAGCATAAGACATCCCTTATCTATCCCCATTATGTTCCAAATTTCTTCCAAGGAAGTGGAAACTGCAAGTGATGGCAATGTGAAAGCCAATAAGAGCTGAAGTGAGTCTATGTCAGCCTCTTACTCGTTAATGGACGTGACTTGAGGGCAAAGGACTTAAATTCAACGTTGTACAATGGGTTTCATACTTAAGAAAAACCTATGGGAAATGGGGAAACTAAAGCCCACGAGGGGTGTGCGAGTTTGATTTCCAATTGTTTCCCAAACAGACCCCCTAAATTTATGTTTGACAAAATGTGAGATGCAGCATATTCAACTACCAAGGAGGTCCAACAATAGCTACCAATTTCTCAAAAAAAAAACGGAGGTCCAACTAGCACTCATGGGCAATCAACTTCATGGAGCCTTCCTTTCCACAAATCAATTCATGCAATGTTCTTGATCGAAGAGATCAAGGCAGCATGCCAAATGCACAATGCCTAAGAGAAGACTAGAGACCCTAATACTATCAACTTTTCCCAAGTCTCCATTGACAAAGGGTCACTAATATGAGTGTGTGACAGGGTAAGCTACGCAATGGGAGAGCAAGCAATATTTTGGAAGAAATCCTATTATTAGAAGAGGTGCTATCAATTCCTTCTCAGTTAGGAATTTGGGAAGCTAAAGAGGCACATGGTTCCTTGCTAGAGCAGGTTTGAGAGCCCCTACGACAATACCTTGCTCTGAGAGACCTAATTCTTGACATGTCTCCTTAATTGGATTTTAATTGACATAATTTATATTGTCAGCAGGAATTGAACAATTCAAAATGATGAATTTTACCAAGCATCTAATTTAATACTTATAAATGTGATACCATAGTTGTTGGGTGCAGGTGCATTCCTGATAGCGGAAGCTGGCTCGGGTCTGCAGAACCATGGATTGCTGGAAGCTCCTTGTGGTTAGGAGCATCGTCCGAACGATCTTATATCAAGGGAGCATGATTCTTGTCACTGGGAAGCGCAATTCCATAAGGGATTGCGAATGATGAGCGGATTTACAGTACCATTGGGCACAAACTTGAATAAGTGCATGTAAATTAGTGCCGAATAGAGAAAACATCATAAGCACTGCATCATACACATGAGAACCGTGGTTCAAACCTGCTGGAAACGAGGATCACAATATAGGGATCTGCGTTCCATCCAAGATCCCTATCTGGAATTGTGGGATCGAAGTTCCAAAGTGGGTCCATGACCTTGCTTACACTGTTCCAACAACCATGTGTGATACTAGTCGACACACTATAATTCACCAACCTCCACATATATCAACACTTCATTCATAAAGCATAAATAAATTACAATAACAAAAATTTCCACAAAAATTAAAACTAGGTATACACTAACTCTCAACAAAAAGACTTATTTTATTTCACAAAATAACTACACATATGCTAGTTGAGAACAAAAGACTTCAATATGTTTTTTTGAGCTGAAAATAGAAACCAGGGTTTCTTTGTTGATCTTAACAATTCCATGATGCAAATTTTATTTTATCACATAGGTTTAATCTTAAGCACAACAAATTTTACAATAACTAATATACAAATGGTGAAGGTCAGTTGTAATGTCATAAGCAGGCATAATTATGAATTAAGAATAGTTGAAGTCGTGAAAAAAAACAATTCAATATAGGACGGAAACTTGTTTCATGAGAGGAAAAAAAAAGGTCTGAAATCCAACACAATCCTATTTCAGGGGTTCATGGGAAGAATTTTCCAACATTTCATGAAATAACTTGCACTTCTAGCAATTTCATATGTTCCCCAATGTGCATTCAGCCTTAGCCTATCCTCCACTGTCCAAATATCACAGATACAACATGCATTCAATGTGCATCTCACCAACTTCACATGCATTCTTATATGCTTTCCTTGATCAAGCAAGGAGCCAAGAAGTTCCTCATGCATTGACCAAAAAACTATCACTGTTTTCCAAATGCAAGCTTAGTATGTTCTGTTTCCAGAACCATGCCTTACATTCCAATCCCCAAATTATAGAACCCGCTTCTTGAATAAAATTATGTAACCATTTCCACCTTAGGTAATTATGGGCAAAAAAATAATCAGTCTTAGTTGAGGAAAGTCAGGTTATCAAAATTAAAAATTTAGACATAATCCTCCAGTGAAGAAAACCTTCACTCAAATAGCTACAACAACAACAGCAACATTAACAAGAGGAATGAAAAACTGGTACTTCAGAGGGCAAACAAAAAATCTAATTAAACTGCGCACCTACATTTAGCCTCAAACAAAAGTATTGCATAAAATCACGACTTCTGGATCAAATACGCACATAAACCAAGTATATTATAAACTCATTCCATACCTTTTGAATCTGACTTGCGCTGGTCGTTGCTGCCCTTCGGTATTTCCTTCTTCTCTTTCGGATAGAAATTTTCATAATCTGTGAAAGCATAGCAAAAGGCAATATTATGATCAAACTCAATCTCCACAATTATTACAAGACAATAAAAAAGCCATCGTCCTCACTATTTTTCAAAGCACAAAAGAATGGTAGCACGAAGCCAGTAATGCCTGTAAGAAATACATCAAAAACAAACGTATTAAAAGAGAAAGGACCCACTTTTCTTTTTTGGGGCTTCACTGCAAAAAAGTCTCCGGCTTCCAGGATTCAAGAGGAGGAGTTGTGATAAGCATCTACCATGCATAAAATCTATAGCAGCTTTGCCATGGGTCGGAAAATCTCCACTAGCAGCAAGATAACTCAAATAACGGCTCATATACCCCAACCCTAAGCCATCATTTGGCTTCGACGACCCTATTATCGACTCAGTTTTTGCACCCAATCTAGCCCCATATCCAATTAACTGAGAGCCCTAATCACCAAAAATCATTGAAGAAAAAGTCAGAATTAAAATGAAACTAAAACACAAAACTAAAACTGATCAAAACATAAGAAAAGCCTTTTTAAGCTGAGATTCAAACACAAGACCACCATGACGCCCTAGAAACTCAAACATTTCAGCCAATGGCCAAACCATGCAAGCTCCTGATCCAGAATGGAATCGAGCATGCGTTTATGAGAGCAATGGAAAAATAAGGGAAAAGATCGAATTTTTAAGGTAGACTCACGTTTACAGCTCTCGTTCGAGAAATGAAGCGACTGATTTTGAGGAAAATCATTCTTCTTTGTTACTAAGCATGAATCACACGATGAGTTGCAGAGAGATATGTGCGTGCCCTAGCTTCACGACAACTCCCTTGGCCACCAAAACAAAGAAAACGGATGAACCAAAAAAACGATGAGAGAGGAAAGAGACTTGTTTTAGAGAGAGAAACTTGTTTTTAGAGAGAGAGAGCTTCGAGGATTTCAGAAGATAGCCGCAGAAAACCACGGGCAGCCTTGGATTATCTAGTTCAAGGCCTTCCGGCAATTAATTGCACCAAAAATTCCCTGCCCTCTGTCTTTCACTTAATTACCGTGCGATCCTATTCGGGTTTTACTATGGGGAAAGCTTTTTATGTTCCCTTAAAGTTCTTTCTTCCCCTATCATCCACTGTTCATTATCAAGAGAGCCATCCACCTTTTGTTCTTAAATCCAACATCTTAAAGTATTTTATTTTTAGTTTTTTAATACAATTTTTTTTAATATTAAATTTGGTACATGCCATCTTCTCATTTGGGCGCACTTATAATAAATATTAATAAAAATTTTTCTATAAAATATAATGACCAAAATACCTCTTGAAACTTTCAAAGGTAGTTTAGTTATTTTATTTTATTGAAAATATTTTTTTAATATTTTTCATTAGTGAGAGTTTAATAGAGGAATGGACGTCCAAAATATGGTGAAAAAATTGTTTATAGAAAAAAATTAAAAATAAAATAGTGTAGAGACGTGACATTGTGATTGGGGTAATATTAACCCTCCATTAAAACATGGACGGTTAGATAAGGGGGAGGATAGAACTTCTATATTGTAGGGGAACATAGAAAGCCTTCCCTCTACTATATAGGCAACATGTCCAAATGTCTGCGGGTGCGATATGATAACTGTGTGACATGAAGCTTGCTTAGTCTTTCTTCTCTTTTTTAGAATTTGTCTTCCATACGCCTGCGGCAGCATTCTGTACGTCCAGTATGGTCCTCAACTTTTGCAATTTGAAACCCGCTAAAATTCGTAAGGATAATTACGGATTCTTTCTTTTATATATAGAAATTCAAAGCTTTATTAATCAAGAACTAAAAGAAATTACAAAGTCTAAGACAATAGTCTCAATTAAAGAAGTACCTCCTTTGGCAAGGAGGTTTGCTAAACCATTGGCCTCACGGAAGACATGCACTAAGGAGAAGATGAAAGGTCTAGACATATCCCAAATTTGCAGCAAAATGGATCAAAGTTCCTAATGTGGTTTTTGCTCCATATTTCACCACTTAATGACATTCAAAGAATCACCTTCCACCACAAAAGGATCTCAAATTCCGTGCCACAAAAAGTTTTAATCTATAGAAGAGAGCCATTAATTCCGCACCATTTGCAGTTTTGTTTCACACAAAAGGATCTTAAATTCCTTACCACAAAAAGTTTTAATCTATAGCAAAGAGTCATTAATTCCGCTCCATTTGCAGTTTTGTCTCCCAGTGGGTCTGCATAGGAAAAGATAACAGCTCCATTCCAACCCCTCACCACTCCTCCAAAGCCATCAGGACCTGGATTTCTTAAACAACTTCCATTAAAATTAAGTTTAAAAACCCCAATTGAAGGGGTATCCATCTCCCCTGAGCCCTGCATTTAAATGGCCTCAAATGGAAAAGATTTGTTAAATTTCTCCTAATATCCACTTCAAGAATATATTTCCCCTCTTTTGTGATAGAGCATGAAAGCCAAATAGAATGTAAAATTTTCTCCAGAACACTATCCACAAGCAAACAATTCCCATCAAACACTTTTTTATTTCTTTCCTTCCAAACTTCCCAAATAAACACACTAGTTTGTGGAAGCCAAGAGAATGCTAAATTCGAAATAATCCCTTTAACTGCGGCAGGCATAACCAGGGCACACCCAAGCTAGTCAAAGAACCAATGCCAAATTTTAAGCATAAAAGAGCAATGCAAGAAAAGATGAGCTCCTGTTTCAACATCATTTTTGCATAATAAGGAAATATTTGTTAAGATCTTTCCTCTTTTGATAAGGTTATGAACAATGACAACCTTATCTTGCACTGCCAGCCACAAGAACGCTTGAATCTTAAGCGATACATGTCATTTCCAAACAACAGCAATTTCCAACATAGACCACCTCCAGCGATCATGGAAAAGCAAATTATATATAGACTTCACCGAAAGTAGGCCATCTGAAGCAAACTCCCAAACAACCTCATCAGCTACATTCTGCGGAATATATACCTCTTGCATTAGAGCTAACAAAACGAACAAATTCCTAAAAAACCTGGTCTGAAATTCTATTATAGGGGAGAACAATATTCCAGACAACCTGGTTACCTCTGATTTCAAAAATATCAGAAAGAACAGCATCAAGATTATCCATATGTTGAAAACCCAAAGGGAAAACATATTTCAGAGGGGAATCACTTAACCATTTATGATGCCAAAAGGAAATATTACAACCATCCCCGAGATTCCACCTAATATCCTTATGGATCAAAGGTTTACATGAGTTGATAGATCTCTAGCAATAAGACATCCCCCTTGTACCATTTCTTAATCCAGCCCACATATAAGATCTATCTTCTCCATATTTAGCAGAATAACTTGATACCACATCTAGTCTTTGAAGTAGCTTCTCCACCACCATTTACACAGCAAAGCCTGATTAAACAATCTAATTTTCCCTATACCCATTCCACCTTCCTTTTTAGGAGTACACACCCTGTCCCAACGGAGAAAGTGGTATTTTTTGGAATTTTCAAAAGACACTCAAATGAAGTTTCGCATGAACACTTCAATTTTCTTAGCAACCCGAGGAAGAATCTATAGTAAAGACATTTGATAGATTAGCAAATTTGACAAGCAAGCTTTAACTAAGGTATTCCTCCCACCCAAAGAGAGATATCTATACTTCCACAAATCAAGCTTAACTTGTATCCTTCGAATCACTTTATCCCAGACGACCATAGGTAGGCGTCCATCTGAAATTAGCATTCCCAAATACAAAACTGCGAAAACTTCCACCTTACATCCCAACACCCCTGCAATATCACGGATCAAAAAGTCATCACAATTAATTCCAATTGCTGCATATTTTTCAAAATAACCTTAAGCCCAAAGGCCACTTCACAACATTGCAAGAAAGTAGCAATATTTTCAAGTTGGTCACAATTAGCCTCATAAAAAAGCAGTGTATCAACAGTGTATTGTAAGTGTGTTATACACGGACCATTATTAGGAATAAGAAATCCTCTAAAGTTCCCTTTTACTTCAACATTTTTAACAAAACGACTAAAACACTTCGCATAAATAGTGTATAGGAAGGGGGACAACGGATCACCTTGGCGAAGACCACACGAGGCTCCAAAGAAACCAAAAGGGCATCATTTGAAAAGAATATAAAAATTTGCAAAGGATAAGCACCCATATATTCAACTTCTCCATTTGTCACCAATTCCCATATTCTTCATAAATTTCAAGAAGGATATTCCACTCAACCCTATCATAAGCTTTTTCTATATCCAATTTGATTACAACTCCTGTACTACCACGTAGAGATCTCAAATGAATGCACTCTTGTGCAACCAAAATACTTTTGGTAATCATCCTATCATTGATGAAAGCAGATTGGGGCCTTAGCGATAATTTTGTAAGGCTTGAGAGAAGGCGAATGGGTCTCATATCACTAAGGCTCCCAATAACGGACTTTTTGGAGATAAGGGTGATAAAAGTGGAGTTAACACCTTTGAAAAGTTCACCACTATGCAAAAAACCACGCACCATTTCCAGCAATTCCGACGAGACCAAATTCCAGAATTTGTGGAAAAAGAGAAGTGGAAAACTGTCAGGTCCAGGAGCCTTATCCCCAGGAAGCCCAAAAACTAATTTTTTTATTTCTTTCAAAGAAACGTCCCTCTCAAGCAGTACTAACGAATCAGCTGAAGATGGTACTCTTAGGGAAGACCTTTGAGTACCAGGGCTAGAGGTGTTTGCCTAGTGTTGGGAGAGCGACAGAGGAAGGAGTTGGTTCATGACTCCGTCTGAGTTGAGGTTGGGAAGGAACCTGCCAAGATGATGCGTGTGCACCTTTAAAGTTAGCCGTCCGGGTGAGTTGGGGGTCGACCCGGGCTCGATCAATGAGTCTGACCTGAGGAGGTCGAGACCCACGATCTTGTGTATGTGACGGGTGAGGCAGAAGCCCATCTCTCACAAGGTGAAGTTGTGTGTGTTGGGAGGGAGGACGGAGTGGTCAACCCTCATGTGCTCAAGGTGGAGTAGAACTGGCGCTGCCCCGGGCTATGGAAAGAAAATGCATGGCGCATGTAGGGTTTGGCCCGAGAAGGCCTAGCCCTGGATGCGAGCTCAAGGCAACATGAGGGTTGCCCCGAGGTGCGACTCGAGTGGATGGACCACGAGCCCTTGGGTGTGTGCGAGGGGTGGCGATCACAGGGTTTTTGCCTCGGTGTGCCGAGCCTCTAGGTCTAGGGGTTTAGAGAGATGAAAGGATATGGGGGGTGGCCTCGCGGCAAACCTCAAGAGCGACGACAACTTGCTTGCCTTTCGCGAGAGTGATGGGGCCAGCCTTTCGGCGTGCCTCAGCAATATGACTGGCAGTAGACTTGCCAGTAGTAGGGTGCGCCACAGTAGGTGTGCTACTCAGCGTGGGGCCTTAGTGGAGAGTCCACCAAGGTGAGAAGGCTGGGGTCTTAGTGAATAGTCCACCAAGGTGAGAAGGCGGGGAGGCAGGGACCTTTAAGTCCCCTCTCTTAGGTGAGAACTTGGGAGCCGGTCCGTGAATCCCCGACTCAGGACGAGGGTGGGGAAGGAGGCTTGAGCAGCTCGCTTCCCTGGAATAGCCACGAGTGCGGGGATAAGGAAGTCCTCGACTCGATTGAATGGGTTGAACAACCCAGGTGCCATAAAAATAAATGCAGAAAGTAAAAGAGGGTGCTGGTCAAACAAGAGAGAGTTGACTAAGGGGTAGTAAGCCCCCAGTGGAGTCACCAAGCTGGTTAGGTACCTTGATCTCATATTCCAGATCTGGATGATCTGGCGACACGTATCTCGAGTTTCTGACAAACCCGGGACTTGAGATCGCTCTCTCAGAACCTTGCTCGATAGCAAGGGTAGGTATACCAACCGATGAGAGAGAAATTAAAGGTGGGTTTGGGACTTACTCGGGCTGGCTCTCGTGGGCACCCTCTTAGATCACGAAGAAATCCCCTTAGCTGCT